TTTCTTATGTTCTTAGATTTGGATTTCATACCAAATTTCATATATTGTGATTTTCTAATTAAGTTCAATTATGTGTCCATCCATGAGCGGCGGAGGGCAATGCAGAGCGTGAACTCCTCCTCGTCCGGTATGGATGAGCTGAAGTCCTCCTTGACGAGCTCTACCCAACCGATGGAGTCGAATTCACAGTCGGATCTGTCGTCGGCCATGGTGTAGAGGAGGGTTGAGGAAGGGGAGGAGACGGGCAGTGGAGAAGTGTGATCAAGAGGAGTTAGGGTTTGACTATGGTTTGCTGTCCAGGCAGGGTATTTGTGGGCACAAGGTTGGGGCAGCATGGACCAACTTGAGTCGGTCTCGCGCGGCGAAGGCGGCCGGGCGTGTCCAGTTCGCCCCATATCCACCCCATATATGGGTTAGGTGGTGCCAGTAAGCCCGAACATTTAGGTTGGCCATGCGCGGTTCACTTGGATGGCAAATTGTTGTTCATGTAATGATCAGGGGTGTCGCACAAACATTTAGGGGGGGATGGGCCTCCGATTGTAGATGCTCTGAGGGCATGTCCAACGCCGTCCTCAAATCAGAGTCACTATCCGTCCGCGGATGTGTCTGGACATGTCGGCGGACACAGACACGAGAGCCGGCCATCCAGCGCAATGCCCTAAACATCTAAGCCGTATTTCAAAGGTGACTTGAATAAACATGACAAATTTAATGCAAACCGTACGATTATTATTTAAACCGGACCAAAATGAGAAAAAGTTTGACATATTTTATTAAACATTTTTTGCATAGCTAAAGTCATTAGTCTAAATCTTCGCCGACATGGAGACGTCTATATCCCACTTGCCCAAATATGTCTCCCACGTGCCGCTCTTCCTCGTCGGAGTCCGCCGTTTGGCCATGGATGTCGCATGTGAAGCTAAGGTCCATGATGGACGTGGACGGGCCAGTGACATGGTCATTGCCGTACTGCGTGAATTGGGTGGGTGACGCAACCGACACAGAGTTGCCGCCGCAGGTAGTAGCGTCCCTGTCCGCGATCGCCTACGCTGCCTCAGCGTCCCCTGTGCCTCGATCTCTGTGAACAGGGCGACACTCTTCGTTCACGTCGGATGTCGCGGGCTACCATGGACCGGTACAACCCCTGCTGCTCATCCAAGAAGGTCGGATTCTCCATGACCATATCCGTGATGAGATCATCATTTTCCTGCTCGCTGATGATTTGTTCCTTCATGAATTGGTGCTACTCGAGGAGCTGCAGATTGTGCCCATGCTCCTCCTGAAGCATCTCCAATGTGGCGCCTCTTTTCGAAAGGACGACTAGAGCGGTCGCACAAGAGAGGGAAGCATGCATGGGGGTGGCTTTTGAGTGGGACCCTTTGTCAGACGCGAACATGGTAGAAGTCCGGACTCCCGCAAAGTCCCCTGCTTTGCATCCAGTTGTGGGAAACGAATGCACAGGCACGTTTGCGGACAAATATGGATCCGCGTTGAATGGTAAAGTGTGTCCGGACGTTTGCTGGCGGGCTATGTGAAGGTCCGCACTGGAGACGACTTTACAAAACAAATACATATCGCCTAATCCAGTCTTGGTCACGTGACACATATTTGAGGTGGTTTTCAGCAGATGAAGCACACATCGTCCCTGACAGGCCGACGTCTAGTCGCGCCATCAGATGGGAACCTGCCTGAGCGGATTTGCCTTCGAGGGCTCTAGGCCTGGAGCACTGCTGCGTAAGTGCAAAAGCTGCGCTCAAAGCCAGATAGATGAGCTAAATTCCTTGTGAAACGAAAGCCAGATCTATCTCCGCTGGCTAGGGAACACATTATGCCGGCGAAACTTTGGCTGTGAGCCACGATTTTGTTGTCGGGAAATTGTAGGCGGCAAGGTGCAGAGTGGCTAAAGCGAAGGAAGCAACATTATTCTGCCACGGGACTCGGTGACGCGGCGCATGTGGGTGGTCTTCGCTTTGCTGGCCGGAGGTAACACGACGGCCGCCGCCGATGCCGAGCCGTGGCCCATGCGATGCACGAAGGGTTGTCGAGGGCCCGATCAAACCCATCCATGGACGCCCGCGCGCCTTCACAGAAACCCTCGTTTGTCAAGTGGTTTCAGTTCATTCAACTTGCGGGTGGTGATCACGCGCGCATGACACCATAATCATTTGAGAAGGGCAGGGCACGTACGATCTCCTCTCATTCTCAGCTGCTACCATACCAAGCGGTGGTAAAAGCAGAGTGGCAGTGCTGCTCGTGCCGGCACGATCTGTTGGGGTGGTGGTTGGATCGGATCGGTCGAGGTCCGAGGAGGAGGCCACCACATGCCATGCGTCCGGCCAACCGTGCCAGTGTTTGCAAACGCAAGTAACATCGGGGAGCCAATAATGACCACTTAGGCCCTCCACTCTATGTAGGCCAAAAGTGGTGCCAAATTCACCTTTACTTTATTTGGCACCGGTGCTCTCCATTGCCCAAGCGCTGCCATAAAAAATTTTCTGGGAACAGGAGCATCTACTTGCTCCGATGTCAGAACCAACAAAGCAATAAACTAAGCCTGATGCTCAAGGGAAGAAGCGGCAGTGAGCCAGGAGCAAGACGCTGCTAGTGGGGCAACTGTTGCTGATATACACTTGTTTATATGTGTGGATCTGACCTTAATCGATGCCCAATTTTTTCACAGTGTGCGGGCGGTGCTAAATATATTTCATCTGGCATCATCGTCTGCGTGGCATATTTTTCAGAGTTGTGGCATCGAACACATTGTGGAAGGCCTTATAGGGAAGAAGAAGATCTGAATCTGCATCTGTTTGGACTAGAGCCCAGTCCAATGGCCTTACGCAAGGGCAACCCCGAGCCCGAACAACCAAAACCCAACAGCTCTGCCTACCAGCCCATTTCCTTTGCTTTCGGCCTAGCCAGAGTAACACAGCCCAGCCCATCTCCTTCCGACCTTAGCCGCAGCGCCGCCCGCTACTACCGCTCGCCGGCTCGCCGCCAGGCTGGCCACCACCGCTCCCTACCCGCCCCGCCATTGCCGTCTGTCGCACCTCCTACTCCCAAGTTCCTGCCCCGTCCGTCCCTGTCTCGAGCGTCCGTCGTCCTCCGGCCACGACAACGGTGGAGGTGCGCCACCGACGCGACGACTCCAACCAGTGAACCCGAGCACGCACCTCACACCATTCTCCCCCGTTCTTG